GGAAGCTTCCTATATTAGCTTCAAGTGTTGGGAGGGTCAAGGGATTGTCCTGCCAGGATTGCATGATTCCATGGTGAGGAAGTGGGCCACTGGAAATCTCTACTCACCTCTTCCCTACACTCGGAATTCACTCCTGGTGCCCAGCCAAACCCCGTCAGAGAGGCTGCCTCTCCTCCTCCTCCCCCACTTTTGGTGTCCCCTGTCACTTCTCTGTTGAGTTCCAGCATTCTCTCTTGGATAAAGTACTTGGAGTATGACTGTCTACACACTGCTCTGGTTCTACTAAGTGGAGAAACTGAGCATGAAATGCTTATCAGCCATCTTGACCATCCCCCAACCAATTTCTTCTAATGAGATGCTGGCTAGCTGTTAATCTTACTGGGATTCCCTTGTAAGTTTTGAGTTATTTTTCTCTTGCTGCTTTCAATGTTTTCTCCTTGTCTTTGGCTTTCAGTATTTTAATTCTGATATGTCTGTTTTAAGAATCTCCATTTTATCCTACTTGAAACTCCATTAAGCTTCCTAGATACATAAATTATTTTTAAATACATTTAGAAAGTTTTTATCCATCATTTCTCCAAATATTTTTCCTGCTCCTTTCTCTCTCACCTCCGCTTCCGGTACTCTATATACATATTGGTGTGCTTGATGGTGTCCACTTTCCCCTGATGATCTCTTCATTTCTCATCATTCTTTTTTTCTCTCTTCTTGGTCTCCCACTTTTCTCTGAGGACCTGTTCATTTTCCTTCATTCTTCTCCCTCGGGGCTGGATATTACTATCTGTTTGCTTATTTGGTTAATGACCAGCTGGGTTAATTGTGTGAAATCCATTTCTCTCCTGCAGTATAAAGCTTCTGATGTTCCTTCTCATGGAAGGCAGCCTTGGGTTTGTCCACAGTGACCCTCAGGTGACAGTGGTTTGGACAAGGATCTCTTTGTCTCCTTCCATGACCATACGCTCCTGTTTAGTTCTGATAATTGCTGGCTGACTGTTCATAATTTGCAACAGTGCCCTGGGTATAAATGGCTTCCTAGGCTGATCCAATTAGATCAGAGCTCATTGAAGGGATAGTTCCCAAGGTCAGTATTCAAGATTTGTTCTGACCACAGGAGGGCTCTTCCCAGCTATCTTTCCTCATTTTTCTCTGGCATACTTTATAGGTAATACAAACTATAGTATATAATTGCTGGCAGATGATAGTTTCACCTGTATTTCCAGTGAGTTTACCAATCTTCTTGATATTGCCCATCATCACCTCCAGTAATTCTTACTGCACCACCTCCTGGCCATTTTGGAAGCTGCAGATAAGAATGGAGCCTCCACCTCCTGGCCATCTTGGAGACACACTAAGTCTGGAGCAATAGGAACTTAGCCTCAGCAACAGGTAGCTGGGGGCAGGATGAGAATTACTGACATCCATGCCCCCTTCTACTGGTGTTCTTGGCTGTACCCGTCTGGAATAGAATTTCTGCCTCCCTGAGCTGGAAGGGTGAAAAGGAAGGTAGATCTTGGTTTAATATCACAGACATTCTCTGTTCTTACTGAGTTTTAAAAGATTTTATTGAATAAATGTTTCTTTATATGCTGTGTGCTCTTTAGATCAGTCCTTGTGGTGTGTGAGACTTGTTACGACCACAGGAAGGCTTCTCCTGTCTCTCTCTTTTCTTAGTTTTCTCTAGCAATTAGCCATTCTATACTTCAGTCTATCTCCAGTGAATTTACCAATCTCCTTCCAATTGCCTCTCAACATTAGGCTTGAAGTTGTCTTTGCTCTGTTAAAAATGAAGTTGGTTTCTTTGTGATGCCAGGTGTGAAACTCACTGTTTTATGATGTGTCTCTCCCCGGGCAGAATCGCTGAGCCAAGGCTCTGGAGCTGGGGGTCGGGACAATGGGATACTTCTCCATAAGTGACACCCTCATTTTAGGACCTAATCTCTGATAGACATGAGGAGGCAGTAGACGTGGGTCTTCTCAACTTGCCTCTCCCTGCCTGGTCCTCCGCCCATGGGCCAGTACAAGCCTGATTAGAACCCCAGTATCCTCAGGGGTGTCTTGCCCAAGGCAGAGCCTATATCCCCCAAGTGGGGCTCTACACAAATGGAGGCCTCACCCTGCCGGCACCCTGGCCATGAAGTAGCCTCAGCAAAGGTGCATCCATGTGTACTGGTGGGCGAGCCAGGTGGGGGGGAATTTATGTTTGTGTCGAGGGGAGGTTAGTATGTGTGTGTGGGGGGAACATATTATGGGAGTGGCTTGTGGCTGTGTGCATGTGTGAGACATGGGTGGCAGTGGATGACCTGGTATGTAAGTGAGGGCCGGGGTTGGATGGGGCAGGTGTTAGGGTGGGGTGGGGGTTTATGCGAGGGTGGGCACATGTGTGACAGTACATAAGTGAGTTTGGGAGGTGGGTGGGGGGT